CAATAATATCCAGCTGCAGGCCCGCAAAACCACCCACGTTTTAGGCACACACAATCTAGGACACACGATCTAGGCAAACCATATATGGTTACGACGGATGTTAAAGTTATACCGTCTATTGAACATCGTCATCGATATATTTTGATATATATATATATATATATATATATATATATATATATATATATATATATATATATATGATTAATACATATTTTACACAATAAACAATAGTGTTTACTTAACTTTTTTTTCACGAATATTGCCATTGAGGCGGCCGAATGGGGAGCATTGTTTCCGATCGCCATTCAATATAATAGACTGAACAGTTTTTAATCAGTCATTATAGCTGATCAGTCATTATCATCTGACAATAATAATATAGCAGATACTATACTATGTTAAACAGCTTTAACAGTGACAGATTAGTAAAAGATAGTAGTTTATATATAAACTTATAATTATAATCAGTTAAGATAATCAGTTTATATATATATTGTTTAAATGGTTAACTATAGTAGGCTAATTTATTTTAAAGTGACATATTATTGTTTGCTTTTTATATTTTACAACAAAGTGATTTTAACCAAGTATAATAATATTAAGAGCTTGAATTAGTTTATTACACTTAATCCAACAATTAGACGGTCTATTATGTTTTCATTGTGTATATGGGCACATGAATAAAGTCATTAAGTGTCTTTAACCAATTATTTTTATTTACATAATTTAAGTTTAGAAACTGCAGAGATGTTAAAATGATCGTTACGATATAATAATAATAAAAATGACTGAAATGGGAAACCATATATGTAAAATTCAATAGGTGGCGATAATGCTGAAGAGTAAGTTACCATATATGGTGTGCCTAGATTGTGTGTCCTAGATTGTGTGTGCCTAAATTGTATGTGGTTTTGCGGGCCTGCAGCTGGATATATCTCGTTTGTTTTGCTCCAAGAATGCAACACCTAGTTCAACCACTGGGTGTCAGACTTGCATACTGCACCTTTAAAAATGTATTTGTGTTGAATTTATCTTACTAAATGGCTAATAATAATTTGAAAAGAGTGTTGTAATGGTGACGCGGTGGCGCAGTGGGTAGCACTCTCGCCTCACAGCAAGAAAGTTGCTGGTTCAAGCCTCGGCTGGGTCAGTTGGCATTTCTTTGTGGAGTTTGCATGTTCTCCCCGTGTTCGCATGGATTTCCTCCAGGTGCTCTGGTTTTCCCCACAGTCCAAAGACATGCGGTACAGGTAAAAAAAAAATTGACCTGTTAATATGTTGAAGTGTTTCCCAGTGATGGGTTGCAGCTGGAAGGGCATCCGCTGTGTAAAACATATGCTGGATAAGTTGGCGGTTCATTCCGCTGTGGCGACCCCAGATTAATAAAGGGACTGAGCTGAAATGAATGAATGAGCGATGTTATGGTCAGCATTAGTAGTAGTAGCTATACTCATCTTAGATAACATTAGAGTATATACAAAAGTATATTAATTCTGTAGTCATTTTAAATCTTCCCATCAAATTTGGTCAAACCACATGGAGCGGGTTTATAGCTTGATTATGTGATCGTCCAGCAGTCTGACATTTGTCTCAGTGTCTCTTCATACAGCAGACAGGTTTTCCTCCTCTGACAGTGTGACTCAGGAATATCTCATCGCCGCCAATCACCATCCTTACATATCGCTATGGCAACCCTGAGTGTTATGTTCAATTCCACGTGTGACCATCACCCCTTAAAGGGACAGTACACGCAAAATTGAAAATCCTGTGATCAATTACTAACCTTTTACCCTGTTTGAGTGTCTACCCTCTGCTGAACACAAAAAATAAGATATTTTAAAGTATGCTGACAACCTGTAACCATTGACTTACATTGTAACTCAAAATGGGTTTTAGGCACTTGAGAGTGAATAAAGTTCATTTCTGTGTGAACTATACCTTTAAATACAGCTGCTAAACTCAAAGACTGATTGATCTCATTGTGAATTTGGGGTTCTGGAATCTCTGTACTGTACCACTGTACTAAGTGGTTCCCCTAGCAACGCTCTTTGTTATGCAGATGAGGCAGAGATGAAGGAATAGGCATGTTAAATGCAGGTGTCCCTGATCTGCCATCTGACATAACACACACACACACACACATAAACACACACACACACACACACACACACACACACACACACACACACACACACACACACACACACACACACACACACACACACACACACACACACACACACATAAACACACACACGTGACGCTTGCGGCTCAATAAAGGGATGAGCATGTGAGGCCAGTCTTTGCCATGTGCTTTGGTCATGTAGAGCTGCACTTCAGCCCACATTGACCAGCGTCTGATTCACACACGGCACAGACAGCACACACACACACACACACACACGCACACACTAATGGAGTTTTGATTGGTGTAATTCATGAAGGAGTTGCAGAAAGAATCACTACAGCTGTTTGATTAAAGGTCTCTCAGATTTGTAGGTATAGAAATGTGATCTATGGAAATATATGCAGATTACATAGACAGATAGACAGACAGACAGAACAGTAGATAGATGGATGGACAGACAGATAGATATATGAGCAGACACACAGACAGAACAATAGAAAGATAGACAGAGAGACAGACAGAAAAATGATAGGTAGAAGGATGGTCAGACAGACAGACAGACAGACGGATGGATGGACAGAAAGAGAGATAGATAGAATGATAAATAAATAAAATGATAGACAGATGGACAGACGGATAGAATGATAGATAGATAAAACGATAGATAGTTAGACGGACAGACAGAAAGAAAGATAAGCAGACAGACAGATAGAAAATCAGACAGACAGACAGATGGACAGATAGATAAATAAAACAACATATGGACGGATGGATGGATGATACAATTAATGGATAGATGGATGGATGATAGATAGATAGATAGATAGATAGATAGATAGATAGATAGATAGATAGATAGATAGATAGATAGATAGATAGATAGATAGATAGATAGATAGATAGATAGATAGATAGATAGATAGATAGATAGATAGATAGATAGATAGATAGATAGAGATGGAACGATAGACAGATAGATGGACAGACAAATGGAATGCTACACAGATAAAACAAGAGACGGACGGACAGCCGGACGGACAGACAAACAGACGGACGGACGGATGGACAGATAGACAGTCAGTCAGACAGACAGACAGACACACAGACAGACAGACAGTCAGACAGACAGAGAGACAGACAGACAGTCAGTCAGACAGAAAGACAGACAGTCAGAAAGACAGACAGACAGTCAGACAGACAGACAGACAGACAGACAGACAGACAGACAGACAGTCAGACAGACAGACAGACAGACTGTCAGTCAGACAGACAGTCAGACAGACAGACAGACAGACAGTCAGACAGACAGACAGACAGACAGACAGACTATCAGTCAGACAGACAGTCGGTCAGACAGACAGACAGACAGACAGACAGACTGTCAGACAGACAGACAGACAGTCAGACAGACAGACAGACAGACAGACAGACAGACAGAGAGACAGACAGACAGTCAGTCAGACAGAAAGACAGACAGTCAGAAAGACAGACAGACAGACAGTCAGACAGACAGACAGACAGACAGACAGACAGTCAGACAGACAGACAGACTGTCAGTCAGACAGACAGTCAGACAGACAGTCAGACAGACAGACAGACAGACAGACTGTCAGACAGACAGACAGTCAGTCAGACAGACAGACAGACAGACGGACTGTCAGTCAGACAGACAGTCAGACAGACAGACAGACAGACTGTCAGTCAGACAGACAGTCAGTCAGTCAGACAGTCAGACAGACAGTCAGTCAGTCAGACAGACAGACAGACAGACAGACTATCAGTCAGACAGACAGACAGAGAGACAGACAGACAGTCAGTCAGACAGTCAGTCAGAAAGACAGACGGACAGACAGACAGACAGACAGACAGTCAGACAGACAGACAGACAGACAGACAGTCAGAAAGACAGACAGACAGACAGTTAGACAGTCAGACAGACAGACAGACAGACAGACAGTCAGAAAGACAGACAGACAGACAGACTGTCAGTCAGACAGACAGACAGTCAGACAGACTGTCAGTCAGACAGACAGACAGACAGTCAGACAGACAGACAGACAGACAGACAGACAGACAGACAGACAGATAGACAGTCAGACAGACAGACAGACAGACAGACAGACTGTCAGTCAGACAGACAGACAAACAGACAGTCAGTCAGACAGACACACAGTCAGTCAGACAGACAGACAGACAGACAGACAGACAGACAGAATGGTTGATAATAGATCTCCTTTCTCCTTGATTTCATGTGTCCACTTTGCAGTAAATTTTTGCTGATGATTGTTTGGCTCAAAGTTTTAAACAATCTTCAAGTTATGAGAAATGATATGATATCTGGACGAGTGTGATTGTTGTTGTTGTTGTTGGTCACGGTGAACAGTCGCAGGGCTGGAGGGTTGCTATAATAACAGTCACAGATGATGCGAGTCAGTTCCTGCTGATGGTAATGAGTGTTTCTCTCAGTGGTCTGATCACAGCAGCCAATGAGCTGGAAAACACTGGATCTGCTGGAAACTTCCACAGAATGCCAGCGCTTATCAGTGTGTGTGTGTGTGTGTCAGTGTGTGTGTGGTTTCTCTCTGTGATATGACTCACACTGATAGATTACTGGAGAAGCAACAGGTTTTTTTTTTTTTTTTGCCTCCTGGAAAAACTCACTTAATTTGACCATATTATTTCTTAAAACGAGACAATATTGTGTGCTTGTCTAGAAAATGCTTCTTGATTTATTAATTTTTGGTCCAGAAACAAAACAAAAGTCTAAAATGACAAAAACTATTCGCAATATGCTGCATACTTGCTTAAATAGTAGAAGCCCATGTATAGTAGACGTCTATAAACAATAAGTGTGTGTTTGTGTCCACAGGCCGCCGAGGTGGAGAAACAGCTGTCAACTCAGGTTCATTCATTACGGGACGACTTCAAAGAGAAAAGCATCTCCAGCAACCAGCACATGACGCGCCTGGAGACGCTGCAAGCTGAGGTGAAGCTTTACCGCATTTACAAAGCCACGCTCTGTAAAAAGTGATCATTTACTTTACTACATAAAAGTGGGTAACACTTTATAATATCTACACTACCTGACAAAAGTCTTGTCGTTAATCTCAGTTTAAGAGCAACAAATAAAAACTTTGCTTCTAGTTGATCATTTGTAAAGTGGCAGAAGGTCGATTTTTTGATGAATCATCTGTTGAGCTGTAACCCAATCATCACAAATACTGCCGAAAGCCTACTGGAACCCGCATGGACAAACCGCAAGTTAGGTGAAGTAAAAGTCATGGTTTGGGGTTAGATTCAGTATGGGGGCGTGCGAGAGATCTGCAGAGTGGATGGCAACATCAACAGCCTGAGGTATCAAGACATTTGTGCTGCCCGTTACATTACAAACCACAGGAGAGGGCAAATTCTCCAGCAGGATAGCGCTCCTTCTCATACTTCAGCCTCCACATCAAAGCTCCTGAAAGCAAAGAAGGTCAAGGTGCTCCAGGATTGGCCAGCCCAGTCACCAGATTTGAACATTATTGAGCATGTCTGGGGTAAGATGGAGCCATTAAAGATGAATCCAAAGAATCTTGATGAACTCTGGGAGTCCTGCAAGAACGCTTTCTTTGGCACGCCAGATGACTTTATTAATCAGTGATTTGAGTCACTGCAGAGATGTATGGATGCAGTCCTCCAAGCTCATGATGGAGTCAGACACAATATTCATTCTGTTTCCACTGCAGCATGACTTTATATTCTATACTGGACATTATTTATGTTCAGTGACAAGGCCTTTGTCTAAGTAAAGTCAGACTTTACTGTCCTAATGAAATAATTAAAAATCAAGGCATGATCATGTTTTATTTTGGTAAAATAAGCGTAATTTAGAGGCCACTTTTGATACCAAATGATCAACTAGAAGTCAAGTTAATATGTGTTCCTAAAACTTGGATAGGAGACAAGACTTTTGCCAGGTAGTGTACACACTGTCAATCATTTATTAAGCATTAGCAAATATTTTATTTATTTTTTAAGCATTAACAAAATAACTAACGTGTATTAATGTAGAGGTAATTCTTAACAAATAATAAATGAACTATTTGCTAATGCTATTTGCTAATAAATGATTCATATTGTCTAGTTCAGTAGTTCTCAAACTGTGGTACAGGCATCCTTCTAGTGGGACGCAGAGGAATATGTCATATATTTACACACAAAATATATTGAAAAATGTATTACAAATTATTTATATGTGAATATGAGGACTATTTATGAGGTCCAAACAACATTTTTAGGTTTTGATGAATAGGCTACTATATGTTAATACTTTACATTGAAGTATAGGAGTTTTTTTTTTTTTTACTTTTTAAGAACAGTAGTCTAACATTGTAATTTAACTTTTAAAAGCACATTTTTATTAAAATGTTGACATTTTATTTCGTTTGTTTGCTTTTTACATATAAGCACAGTACAGTGTTAATGTTCAAACTATATATAATGTTAAAGTGGCTAACAATAATAAATATTTGTAATAATAAGAATTAATCTGCCTGGTTTTTGAACTGTGCAGTGCTGTAGCTGCTTAATTAGGCGTTTACGCTACTGTATTTCAATACTGTTCAATATGGTGGAGACTATTCTTTTCTGAGGTGGTACTTGATGAAAAAGGTTTGAGAACTGCTGGTCTAGTTATTATAGTGTTACCAAAAAGTGAGTAAACCCAGTGAGACAAGTTGACTTTAATTTAAAAAGCCATTGTAACTTGGAACTTTCAAGTTGATTCAACTAAATTTTTTATAACTATGCACATACAGTTGAAGTCAATTTTTTTATTCCCCCTGGATATTTATCTTTCCTTAATTTTTGTTTAATGAAGAGCACATTTTTCTTCAACACATTTCTAATCATAATAGTTAATAACTCATTTCTTTTTATTATTATTATTATTATTTTTTAAGTTTTTTTTTTTTTTTACCTTTAATGGATAGAATAGTGCAGAGAAATGACAGGAAATAGTTGGGAACAGAGAAAGGGGAATGGTCGGCAAAGGACCTTGAGCCGGGAATCAAACTTGGGTCACAGTGAGCACCATGGTGCTATATGTCAGCGCACTTAACCCATAGGCTATTGGCACTGATGTTAATAACTGATTTCTAATAAATGATTTCTTTTATCTTTATCATGATGACAGCACAATATTTTACTAGATATTTTTCAAGATGCTATTATTCAGCTTAAAGTGACATTCAAAGACTGAACTAAGTTGATTAGGCAAGTTAGGGTAATTATCTAAGGGTAATTATATAAGTCATTTTATACCAGTGGTTTGTTCAGTAGACAAAAGATATTGCTTAAGGGGGCTAATAATATTAAGCTTAAAATGGTTTAAAAAAAAATAAAAAACTGCTTTTATTGTATCCGAAATAAGACTTTTCCCAGAAGAAAAAATATTATAGGAAATACTGTGAAAATTTCCTTGCGCTGATAAACATCATTTGGGAAATATTTGAAATAATTCACAGTATGGCGAATACTTTTGACTCCAGCTGGAGTTTATTTACTTAATGAAATAAATAGTAAATAGTAAGGCAACAGAGTTGCCACACTTTTTTAAGTAAAGTCAACTAATTGCTTTAAAAGACACATGTTTACTCACTTATTTTTAATTAAATCAACTATTGGTTACAGTGTGACACCATATTTCAAAACCTCCTCTCCTCTGTTTTCCTTCCGCAAATGATGGTTTGTGTCCCGTCACTAACAGCAAGGGCTTGAAGTAAGTGCTCTCGAACCGCTTGTCTTCCTGCATGCTCATTGTGGATCATATCGTGACTGCTTTCGTGCCGTCTGAGCGAGGGTGTGTTGCTTTTCTCATTAACTCATCTGTGTGAATTGGCTTCTGGAGTGTGTGTTGTGACAGAGCAGGAGAAACAGTGTCAGTGTGAGTTTCACAGGCCGTCATCAATGGCGAACCACCATCAAATCACAGCTTTGGAAAATTATGAAATTCTCAGAAAATGACTAATAGGGATAGTTCACCACTAAAATGAACATTTGCTGTTCGTTTAGGCCCGATCCCAATTTGACCCGTCAGCCTTTCTCTTTACCACTCATTTTGTGCGTTCACGTGAAAAGGGTTGGGGTGTCCCAATAGAGTGGAGGAACTATGACGTCAATTTGTATGCAAAAACCCAGAAGCGAGTTAGCATTTTAGCACTTCCGGTTCCCTCGTCCCAAAGTCAATGGGTTTTTTGAATAGGGTTTCAGTAAAATCGCTTAAATAAGGATCGTGGCAAACACAAACTCAAGATATTTTCACGTTTTGTTCTACGACATAAAACACATCAGTTACAGCACACTCTTGAATTTTTAATTCAGCCATGCTTCTTTAAAAAGACGGCTGCTAAATGGGACTACAGGTGGTGTCGGAGACATTATACGTCATCAAGCTGATCTGGAGCGCAGCTCACTTGTGTTGGGCATTTGGATTTGCCTGTATTTAGGTATTTTCATGAATAGTATTTTATAGTTTGTAGTATTTTTCTAATTGGGACTTCAGATTGTGTGTAGATAATTCCTTCAGTTATAAAGGCTGTCGAGACAGATTCATTTGTTGATCATTTATTTTAATTAAATGGTATTATGAAGATACTGCTCACCAGTGCAGCCTGCCTCTGTCCTGCTCTCAGTAATGCAAACATGTGAATAAATGTGTCAAATACATGCATGTTAACTGTCATTTTAACGTGATCAAGTGATTTTTCGTCTGTGTTTTCTTCATGTGAACACATTTAACTCGGTCATACCTGCAATATTTACACTCCCCCATAAAATGTAAAGCAGATGTGAGTCTATGGTAGGGGTGTCAAAATTAATTGTTTCTTATGTGCACCGCAATGCAGACGCGGACAATTCGGTATCGGTTCAGTAATAATCATAACAGGGTATTATGTACTGACGTCATTTACCTCATATGCGCTCTGTCGCGAGGGAGGCGAGCGCGAGTATTTACAACGCTCCAACTACTTAAAACTCATAAACTGTGCACAATTTCACTGTGTGTGTTTGCTGGATCTGTCTTTCACTGACAAATACAACAAAAGCCTCTATTTTACTGCGATTGAGAAAATGAAAGTACTCCATTTCTCTCTCTCTCTCTCTCTCACACACACACACACACAGACACACACACACACACACACACACACACACACACACACACACACACACACACACACACACACACACACACACACACACACACACAAAGTTAGGCCCATTTGACCTGCGGGCGTGACTTTTCTTCTCCTCTCGGCTGTTTTATAGCATTATTTCTGATACAGAAACGAGCGCATGTCTGCAGAGTTTTCTCCACCGTGTCTATCATGGATCAGCTGTGATCACCGCTGCCGCCTGCCGCTTATCAGTGTCACTCATCTGTGAAGAGCGCAGCGTGCAAGAGCCAATCGCTACCGTTTTTGTTGAGGGTGTGACCAATCAAAGGGGTGTAAGAGAATTAGACAAGGATCAGAAAGCGAGCTGGATATTTATATTTGTTTATATTATTTGCTAAATGCTTGTGTTTTTTAAAGGTACAGTTTATATATCTGACTGTTTGTATTAAATGACTAAATTGTATTACAAATAGTATATAAATATAAATATATTCATACATTTAATAGAAGAATTGCTGCTGTGAAGAAAATATAAAACTGTATATGAAAAGCATCGTCAATGCACCGTGATGCACCGAGATATCGAATTGAACCGAATCGATGGCATGATAATCGTAACCGAACCGAACCATGAGAGTAGTGTAGGTTCACAGATCTACTGTATGGGCTGCTTTTCAATGTACCTCCTGACAAAAACCTACGGACAATTTACTTTATTCAATTCCCCTATTGCGCTTGTGTTTGTACTGTGGGGGAAACCGGAGCACCCGGAGGAAACCCCCGCCAGAACATGGAAACTCCACACAGAAATGCCTACTGATTCAGT